TTTATTATAGACAGGATAGAAATAAGCTCACTCAGAGAGGGGCAGACTACAATTTATCCAAAGAATATTAACGAATAACTTCAATAAATACATTTTGAGACTTAACCTTTCATTCTCTTGGGAAATAGTTAAACCTTGGCTAAAAACAAGATATAAAGTGGGGCCTTAGAAGGCAATGTAAAATAAATTTGTACGAGAAGAAAGTCTCAGAGTCATGAGTCCTCCTGTTAACTTACTTTTTAGATTCCATATTAGGCATCCAATTAGGATAGTGAAAAATACCGCCAAAACAACTATCACAAATATTACGTCCTTCATCCAGCTATTGTACAAGGAAAAGAAAGGATCTGAAATAAAGACTGAGAAAGATGCAAAAATTAGGAAATTTGTGAGAATGTACTAGAGAGAAGGAATGTACAGGAATAACATTTAATATTACTTTACTTGTACTTAGAATTTGTCCTTTAGATTCATTGTTTTACCACTTAAAAGAGATGGATTCAATTGATCCTTGAAATAGCTACATAAAATGAATTTTAAATATTCATTTGTTACTATCCTTTTTATCATCAACTTTGAGTTTGTAAGTGGATGAAAATCTGGGGAATATTGGGATGAGTAGAATGGATTTGAGGCACATACTATAACTATATAACAACAAATTGGAAAACCTAGAAGAAATAAATAAATTAGAGGGAACACATAACCTACCAAGACTGACTCTAGCCAAACAGATCATGAATAAGTAAGCAGATTAAATCAGTAATCAGAAATGTCCCAAAAAGAGAATTTCAAGTCCAATTGGTTCACAAGTGAATTATGCCACATAGTTAAAGAATTAATACTAATCCTTCTCTTTTTTATTTATTGTTTTTAGATACACATGACAGTAGGGTGTATTTTAACATATCATAAATAGGTGGGGTGCAACCCATTCTTCTTAAATTCTCCCAAAAGATGGAAGAAAAGGGAGCACTACCAAGGTTTTTTATTGAAGCCAGCACCACCAGATATTAAAGGCAGAAAAAAATACCACACACACATAAAAAAGTTACAGGCCAATGTTACTGATGAACACATTTGCAAAAGTCCTCAATAAAAAATTGGCAAAGTAAATTCAACAGTACACTAAAACACTTTGACCAAGTAGGATTTAACCTGGGTATCAAGAATGGGTCAACATACATAAATCAATAAGTATGATATAGAGCATTAATAAAATTAATAATCATCACCACAACATCCTATTATGTGCATAAAAAGGATTTGACAAAATTCAACATCCTTTCGCAACTAAACTTGTCAACAAATTAGACATAGAAGGAACTCATTTCAAAATAAATGTGCTGAAAGAAGTAAAACTCTTTCTGTTTGCAGATGGCATGATCCAACAATATGTAGACTACACACACTCACACACCCCTTCCAACACACACACACACACACACACACACACACA